ATTTCGGTCCTGATGTCCTGGTTGACAAGATCCATCCATGACTTCAGACCATCCTTCGTCTTAGTCTTGATGTCTAGCAGTATACCAATGGTGCTTTCAAAGACATTCTTCTCGAGGTGCATGCAGTCGGTGGCATGGGGCGTATCTAGCTCCTTCCAGTACGATAGGTACTTGAAGAAACACGACTGCTTCTTGAAAGGAAGGGGGCGATAAGTGGTTCCTCCATCTTATCCCGCTTCCTCTTCTTTCTTGTCGTGGTCCCATCTTCCTATTTCTTCTTCTTCCCGAACTCAACGTCTATGCCCTTCACCATGCCAAACACCTTTTGCCCATACCTCATCCTTTCTGGCTCGTCAAGTTGAGGCTCCTCCTAGTTGTCGAAGTACTTATTCATCATAGCTGCCCAGTACCTGTGCTTTTTGACAAGGAATCGCATATGCCTCATATACACCATCTTCTTGGATGCACTAAGGTAAGTGTAGCAGGTACTGTCAATGCAAACTACACAACCTGACTTACCTTTTATCTGCCCCGACAGTGAAAAAAGACCAGGGTATCGGTGATGGTGACAAAGATGATGGCTTTTAGAGTTAACTCCTCCTTTAGGAACGCATCCATCATCTTGACCCCATCTTCCCATAGTATCTTCATGTCCTCCATGAGCGGCTACAGGAACACATCTATATCATTGCCTGGCTGCCTTTGTCTAGAAATAATCATGGTTAGTAAAAGATACCTGTGCTTCTGACATAGCCAAGGAGGTAGGTTGTAGATGGTGAGGATGACCAGCCAAGTGTTGTGCGAGCTGCTGAGGTCACCGAATGGATTCATCCCATCGGTACTCAGCGCAAACCTTATGTTCCTTGCCTTGTCACCAAACGCCGAGAACTTGGCATTGAAACGCTTCCACTACTTGCCATTGGAAGGGTGCCGCAGCTTGCCATCGTCCTTCGTGCGCTCATCAGATGCATGCCAAGACATCAGCTTGGCATCCTCGGGGTTCTCGAATATAGCACGCATGCGATCGGTCATGGATAGGTACCACATCGATAGGGCTGGACTTTTCCTCTGCGTGTAACCCTCTTTTTCCTCATCCTCAAGAGACGGGATCTGCTTCTTTGCAATACTCTTCTTGGACATCTTCTTCTTCTTCAGCTCTCTCACGTCGTCCACATCCGCATGACAACCAGCATTCCTCTTGTACCGACTCGCGCCACAGTTTGGACACCTCTGCAAGTTCTCATACTTGCCCCGATATAGGATACAGTGGTTAGGGTAGGCGTGGAACTTTTTAAGCTTCATCACCACTGGTCGGATCAGCTTCTTCGCCTGGTAGGTATTGGCGGGAACCTTATTACACTCTGGGTATGTGTCAGCAAGGATACGTAGCAGGTCATTGAAGCAAGTGTTGGACCAGCCATGGCGAGCCTTCAGCATCAGCATCTAGAGGTTAAAACGCAGTGTCATCCAGTGATTCGAATAGTCCTTATAAAGGGGATCAATTGCCTCCTGCTTCATCTCTCTAAAATTCTCTAGACACCTTGGGCTCCCAAACAGAACGTCATCGTGGTCAAGACGGTTAGTGATTGACTCAAAAAGGTCTGCGGTCTCGGGATCCATCACAGCCTCACCGCCACCCCCACCGTCGTCGTCATCTGTGTCTTGGAGCAGATCATCCATCATGATGTAATCGCGATCTGCATTATTATCGCTAGTAGCAGCATTACCGTGCTCGCCGGCCGCTGCTGATGAGGTTTGTTGTTCTGCATTCACCGCTGTCGTCGTCGTTGTCGACGAGTTTCCTCCAGATGCATCGGCACTCGGATCCTCTGCTTCGCCATGAAACTTCCAGATGGTGTAATCCTTGACGAAACCATACCGGACCAAGTGAGATTTCACCACGTTATCTTCGTGCAGAAGAAGGTTCTTGCAACTTTTACATGGACAGACGGTGTGTTCCCACTTTAGACCCAGACGATGCCTTTTCGCAGCGAAAATAAACTTTGTCACATGTTCCAGGTACGAAGAATCCAGCCTCGATGTATTGTACATCTTTTCCCTGTCCATGGCTGCAAAACCTTGCACACACAAACAGCGAAAATGGCGCATATAAGCAGAGCAGTATGGAAAAAAGCAGTCGGGTAGCTCTAGATCTGATTTTCTCTCTCCTCCAAATGGATCTAGATCTAGATCTTGAGAAAAAGTACCCAAATCATGGAAAAGAGAGAGGATCGAGGGTTTGAGAGCGAGAATCAATCTCTTGAGGTGCCCCCCTTCACCAAATCCAAGGGCAAAACCTCTTCCCCTAGAAAATGGCCATTTTTTAGGGTTTTGAGGTCAAACCCGAAAAAATGGAGGAGAAACCGTGGGGAAGAAGGGTGGGTGCGGCTACATTTATAGCCAAGACTTAACCGAGGGGGGCACTATAAGGAAACTGCCTCGGTTAATCGCCTGTTAACCGAGGCGGTTGCATTGGACCAAACGCCTCGATTAATGGATTAACCGAGTCGGTTACCCTAAGCCAGTCATAACAACCGCCTCGATTAATGTATTAACCGAGGCGGTTGCGTTTGGACAACTGCCTCGGTTAATCCGCATTAACCGTGGTGGTTTCTTAATAGCGCCCGCCTCGGTTAAGGATTAACCGAGGCGGTTGCTGGCCTGGCTGCCCTTCCTCGAATAATTGAGGCGGGCAACCAGGCCAACCGCCTTGGAGCCCATTTGTGAAACGCTGTCTAAAAGATTTTGTGTAGTAGTGGTTATAAGTTGTTAGCTAAATTATTGCTCAAAGATTAAAAAGTCTCAGTCTTGACCTATGCAAAATGCCTTATAGACCGGACCGGGGGAGTATTTGTTAACAAAATATTGGTACTAGCTTTGTTAGCCGAAAAGCTAGCTGAGCCGTAGGAGCATGTCCAAGAGTCTTTCTAAAACTAATTTTCTAAATCATTATTTGGAGAGTCATTTGAATACAAATTGTTTTCTACATCTTTTTACTCTCCAATAATTTCCCTTGTGTGCACTAAAGAGTTAACCTCACTCTACATCTTTGGCTAGCGAGAAATCTGAAATAGAGGATGACTATATTTGGCTAACCAATTAAAGGAGCCGTTTGAGGGTATTTTTTCATTAAAATCTCTATTCCTAACCATTAGGAATGATAGAAAGAGTCTCTTGGAGTTGCTCTTTGGATCCTCTAGCTAATAGTACTACATTTAGTTACAGAGCCAGCTAATAACTTTTTACTAGCCAACAAATTTTAGCATACTAACTATTAGCACCTACTAACATCCTTCGACTTGCTAATAGTGCTGATAGGAGATGGTCAGTAGAACACCTATTAGTGGGATCTTGTTTGGATCTACCCTGGGTCCCTGACACCTTATAACTTTTAACTGCTAACAATTAACAACATGGATCAATAGGGCCTTTGGCTATTAGCTAAGGTTTGGATCCACTTTCGAAAAAAAAAGGTTTGGGTCCACTGGAATTAATTTTTATAGCTAATAACTATTATATGTCGGGATCTAATGAATCACCCTCCTCCTATTGTTTGTCCTGATGAATGCCATAATGAACAAATTTAAGGACTTAAAGTCTAGAAATTAATAGTGTATTAGGGATCCATCGTTGCATTTCCTCCAATCATCTATATACTCTAATAAAGCTAATTACCACTCTATATTCTATCTCTTCAGCTGTCCATATTTTTTCTAGTTATAAATAATTTAATGCAATTTTTTGCCTTTTTTAAAGGATTTTTTTTTTGCGAGACCTAGTACGGACGCAGACATTTATATACACAAGCATACACTCACTCATATGAGCACCATCGAAGAACTGTTATCGACGGACATGTCGCTTACCACCTAACAAATAGCATCGTTAAATCCTAGAATAAATTTAGAAGAACACGAACACCTATGTCACATCGAGAACAAGTAACGCTCTGTCCATATATTTTTCCTTCGTAAATACTCCCTCCGTCCTCTTTTATTTGTCATTGTCACTTCCTGAGAAGTCAAACATATATAATTAACTTTGAACAAATATGTATAAGAAAATGGTACATAATTAGTATCGCTAGGTAGGTCGTTGAGTTTTTCATAATAAACTTATTTAAAGATACATATATTAATAATATTTACTATAAATCTAATTAATCTTAAAAAAGTTTGATCGGCACGAATAATACATGACAAATAAAAAGGGATAAAGAAAGTATCCTGATTAAATGGACAGCGTCGATACAGTAAACTTGTGACATGACTTAAACTCTACCAACAACTGATGGTCAACTGGGTCTTGGATCATTCCCTTTAACCATTGTGCCCAAGTATAAATATATTTTGTACTCAACCAATAAGGTGTCCACCGCACCGTACTGCGTACCCCTCACAAAAACATTCACTCTGTTCGCTGATGTTGAAATTTAGTTTATACTGATATTTATGCTAAAATATTGTGAGAGAAAAATATTGTTTTATAACTGAAAAGTAGTTCTGAATAAACTCAAGCTAACATGTCAATTGTCTGCCCAAGTTACGTACCTTGAGTATGATGGCAGTAATTTTATAGTGAAAGTTAATTGGGATATGGACGAGATAGTTCTCGTCACGTTCTTGCTTTTTTAAAGGATGAGGAGGAGGACAACAAATTCAATCGCCCAGCCGACAAACTAGTGTGTGCCCAAGGAAAGGAAGCATCTGGGCAGCAGCCAGTGAGTGATACAAGGGGCGGACACGCGACACCACGTCGGTTGCTTGCCTTGGCTTCGTCGGTCAAACACAAGAACATAGTCGATTCGCCGCCATGCCCAATTGCCCATGCGTGTTCTCAGCAGTTCGGCAACGTACTAGCTTGGTGAGCTGTCCTGCATGTTTCCCGATCCGATCCAAAAGTAGACAAGTCCAAGATGAACACCAATGGCATATGGGTCCATGGGAGTACGTACTATATAAGCAAGCAAGAGCAGTGGCAGCAGCAATCAACAAGATACAATGGCCGTGGCAAGTAAGAAACCAGCAGCCACCCTCGTGGCCGTGGCGGCCCTTGTCGCCGTCGCCGGCTTCCTCGCCGGCCCAGCCGCTGCCACAGGGAAGACCGGGCAGGTGACGGTCTTCTGGGGCCGGAACAAGGCGGAGGGCACGCTCCGAGAGGCCTGCGACACGGGCACCTACACCATCGTCGTCATCTCCTTCCTCAGCGTCTTCGGCCACGGCCACGGCAAGCCACCTACCCTGGACCTCTCGGGCCACCCGATCGCCGGCATCGGAGACGACATCAAGCACTGCCAATCCAAGAACATCATGGTGTTCCTCTCCATCGGGGGGTTCGGCGACCAGTACTCCCTGCCGAGCGCCAAGGCCGCCACGGACCTCGCCGACTACCTCTGGTACGCCTACTTCCCGGCGCCCACCCCGCGCCCCGCCGGCGTGCACCGCCCGTTCGGCGACGCATACGTCGATGGCCTCGACTTCTTCATCGAGCGCGGCCCGCCGGAGTACTACGACGTGCTGGCGGCCCGGCTGTGGAGCTACAACAAGCAGTTCCGCGCCCGGACGCCCGTGCAGCTGTCGGCGACGCCGCGGTGCGCGTTCCCGGACCGCCGCGTGCAGCGGGTGCTCGCCACGGGGCTCGTCACCCGCGTCAATGTGAGATTCTACGGCGACGCGCACTGCGCCGCGTACTGGCAGCAGGAGTGGGACAAGTGGACGGCGGCGTTCCCGGACTCCACGATCTACTTCGGGCTCCCGGCGTCGGATCAGACGGTCGGGTACGTCCACCCCAAGAACCTCTACTACGGCGTCGTCCCCGTGGTGCAGAAGGCGGCCAACTATGGTGGCATAATGATCTGGGACCGATACGCCGACAAGCAGACCAACTACAGCAGCTACGCCATTCAATGGGCTTGATCGACCTCCATCTATCCATGCCGTGTACTCTGTCTCTGTTTGTACGTACTGTAGTGTTGTCCATCTCCTCACTAGCGTGCTTTCAAGAATAAAGTGAGGCATGTGCATCAATAAACCGTTGATAATTATCGTTAGCTTGATTACTATCTGCCCCGTCACTTGCTTTCTCACTCTCAAGTGAGTCAGTATTTTACACATCAAGATTTTACGGCCTTAAATCTTTTTTAAAGATCCGGCGGGGTTATCTGGCTTGTCTCATTGAAATAAGAATGAGTTTATAGAGATCGCTAATACTGGTGCGGGCATCCGTCCGGGCAAGAATGTTCGGACGACCCGTTCCCATTAGGAGCCAGCACAGCGACCGGGAGCAACAGGCCCATCTACGCTATCTCATCCATATATTCTATCTACACTGTGACAGTCGACAGAAATCCTCAACTCCTCGCTTCCCTTGTCGCGCCTCACCGCGCCGTCTGCCCACCCCAAGCCGCCTCGCGGCGGCGCCCCCATCCCGCGTCGAGCCGTGCCACGTCTGTCGCCACGTCATGCTCCATCCCCGCCGCGCCCGCTCCGCCTCTTCACGTCGTGCCCGGTCCGCGGCTCTGCGCGCCGTGTCCCGTACCTCGCCGGGTCAAGGTGCTACCGACGCCGACGTTCCCCACCAGTAAGTCGTGGCCGCTATCCATGCCGGCGCCGCCGCGACGCTCGACCTCAGCTTGCGATATCACAAGATCCGGAGTGGCCAAACCCGGAGTGGGCTTCTCTAGCTGCACCTCGCGCTCGCTTCCTTCCTCGGATGTTGGAAGCGCATGTTGTAAGCGTATGTTTCAAGTGTTTCAGATGTTTCAGAGGTATGTTGAAAGTGTTTCATATGGATGTTAAAAAAGATTGGTGTGTTGCATATGTTGCAATGGTTGTACACGTATGTTGCAAACATCTATTTCCAATGTTTCATCTATTTTTTCAAACGCATGTTGAAAGTGTGTTTATCTGGATATTGCATATGTGTTCACAGATACGTTGCAACTGTTTTATCTGGATGTTGCGTATGTTTTGCAATGGTTTTCAAGAGTCTTTCAGGTGTTTTTGCTAATGTTTGAGACACATGCTTCAAGTGTTTCATCGGTCTTCAGAGGTATGTTTCAAATTCTACATCTGGATGTTTCAAAAGTAGATCGGGTGTTTTGCACATGTTGCAACCTGATGCAGCTGTTGGAGGGTGCGAGGGGTCGTGCGGGGCGCAGACGCCACGCAGGGTCACGCGGGGGCACAGATGCCGCGTGGGGTCGGATACGGCGCAAACGTCGCATGGGGTCAGGCGGTACGCGAAGTACAGGTGCGGCATATGGGACAGTCGCGGGCGTTCGAACGGTCCTACCGTCTAGATATCCGGGTGCTAGCCATGCCGTATAGAGATTGGAGTACCTTACCAGCGCGAGGGGTGCTACCTTACACAACATAAGGGTGCACAAGATTTAGATGAAAAATAACTAATTACTTAAAAAAAAGATGGGCAATCATTAGGGGAAAGACTTTTCCTCCCGCTGAAGCCCAAGTGGAGCAGTCTTTCCCAGGCCTCGTTCACTTTGCAAAAAAAGTGAACCCGATGAATAGTACCACTTTTGTCTTATTTGATAAATATTGTTCAATCGTGGACCAACTAGGCTCAAAAGATTCATCTCGTGATTTCCAACTAAACTGTGTAATTAGTTAATTTTTTTACCTACATTTAATACTCCATACAAACGGCTAAAAATTGATGTGATGAAGAGAGAGTGAAAAAACTTAGAATTTGGATGACATCTAAACGAGGCGCCATGCAGTATGGGACAAAGTGCATTTAATGAATAGGTGAGTGGATGTTTTGAGGTTTCTTTCACACAGGGCACAAAAAAAAGTTGTTTTTCAAAATGTGTAATTGGAGTCGGGCCATTATCCATAATTTGTGCTAATTAGGGATTTGCATCGCAGCGACACCCGGACCTTCCAGATTAGCACGACCCTAAATTTCATCTCTTGTTTAGTATTACCCGCAGTTTTATTTCTTGTTTCGTATATTTATAACACCTTGTAACATTGTAAAATTGTGAAAGTTATTTTTTTGACAAAAATGTAGGTACCATTTCTTGTTTCGAAATGGTAAGTATATTTGGATCATGAAAAGTCAAACAAAATATATTTTAACCATTAATTTCTCTTGATATATATTGTAATTTGCTAAAGAGTCAATATAATCTCAGAGGCACTTTGAATATAAATGCATTTGGGTAAGTTTTATGTTTCGAACTTGTATATAATTTCAATAATTGTTTATTAAAGTTTGTATAAGTTAACTTTTTCCGTTTGAAATATGGTTACCATTATTCTAGAACGAAGGAAGACGGAGAGAGCTAGTGGCATATGGATGAGAATGCACATGGCAGCATATCATAAGACAAAAAAAATGACTTACCAATACAAGATCTCAGTGCTATTTACTTCATCCATCTAAACAAAAGTAATTCTAGAATTCAAACATGTTCTAGTTTGACTAAATCTATAAAAAAGAACCTACTACTCCCTCAGTTGTTTAGCTTTTTTAGATACATTGTATTTACTATATATTTAGGCATAGTATATATCTAGGTGCACAATAAAAACTATGTATCTTGAAAAGCCATAATGCCTTATAATTTGGAATTGGTGGAGTAACATTTATGACATCAAATAAATATCATTATATTATTTGCATACAAAACATCAAGATATAATTGTTGAAAAGAAAATATTTTCTATAATAAAACTGATCAAAGTTAAAGAAAGTTTGACTAACCCAAAATTTTAAAATTGTATTCTTTTTAGACAGGGATGGAGTACAAATTACAAGATCTCAATTACGTTCATCACTGACACAAACTCCAAAACTTTTAAACTGTTTATTTATTTATTTATTCATCACTTTATTCCTTCTTGCAAAATGCAAACACACTACACACCACCAAAGTGATGACTGTATTTTACAGATATAGTACTACTATGCTTGGGCTTATGCTGGTCGGGAAGAAACTAGTGGTTGGCAGTGACAGACAGAGACAGTAGTGACGCTGACGCAGCATGCATGTCTGAACTGAGAAATCATCAAGCATAGTACTTGACCATGCTGGTGTAGTTGGAGAGCTTGTCGTAGTAGCGGTCCCAGATCATGAAGCCGCCGTAGTTGTCCGCCTTCTGCACGGACGGCGCGACGTCGTAGTAGACGTTCTTGGGGTGCACCCACCCGTGCGTCATCTCCGACGCCGTCATCCCGACGTAGAACCTGGTGGCCGGGTACGCCGCCGTCCACTTGTCCCAGTTCAGGTGCCAGTACGCCTCGCAGTCGGCGTCGTCGTAGATCCTGACGTGGACGCGCTCGAAGATGCCCGTGTCCAGCGCGCGCTTCAGGTAGCCCGCCGGCGGGAACCCGCAGCGCGGCGTCGCCGTCAGGTGCAGCGGCTTCCCGGGCCCACCGCGGATGTTGTGCTTGGCGAGCTCCAGCGCCAGCACGTCGTACCGGTCGGCGGCCGTGCCGTGCTCCAGGAACAGGTCGACGCCGTCCAGCCACGCGTCGCCGAAGGGGCGGTGCACGCCGGGCTTGGACCCGCCGAAGAAGGCGTTCCAGAGGTAGTCGAAGAGGTCCAGCGCCGCCTGCCTGGAGGGGAGCGAGTAGCCGGAGCCGAAGCCGCCGATGGAGAGCGACACCGGGACGCCCACGAACTGGCAGTGCTTGATGTCGTCGCCGATGATGGCGGCGATCGGGTGGCCGGAGAGGTCCAGGTGGTACTTGCCGTTGGGGCCGTACACGTCGAGGAACGACATGATCACCATGGTGTAGAGGCCGGTGTCGCAGGCCTCCCGGAGCGTGCCCTCGTCCTTGTTCCGGCCCCAGAACACGGTCACCTGGCCGGTCTTATTCCCCGCGGCCATGGCCGGGCCGGCGAGGCAGACAAGCAGGGTCGCCACGGCTAGGAGGGCGGCTGCTGATGCCCTCCTCCGTCCTCCGAGCGCCGCCATTGCTGGATCGATCGTTGATTTCTTCTTACTCTTGCTTGCTTACTAGTACTTGCTTGATCAAATGGTGTGTGTGTGAAGGATTAACTAGAATCGACTCAGCTATATATAGGATTAGGATTAGGATTAGGATCGGAGCAGATTATATTCGAGGAGATCGAGATGCGTGGAATTCAGCTAGGCAGCTAAGGAGAGTTTGACCGGTGCAAGTTTTTCAGCCAGCTAGCTTTTGATTGTTCCTTCTCCGGGCGGACACGTGTGGAATGAAGCTGCTGACCGAAGCCGTGCACGCCGGATAACATGGAGGACAGCTCACCAGCAGTCCAGCAGCCTGATATGTATGCCGACCAATCGAAAACGACGTGCATCAGCGAGAAGGGGAAACAGACATCCGTTCACGCATTGCGGCGGATTATATGCGTGTCTGCTGCTGGTGGCATCGCTCTCGGCGCACACGGTTTATATACTTTATCATATCCACTGGTACTGGTACGGTTGACGCACATGGTTTATATATTCTTGGTTTCTTTACCTGCTGGTTGACCAGGAGAGTTCGCAACAGCCACGTTCCTTCCTTTGTGAGTTAACGTTAGTGTGCCATGGTACCTGGGTACCAAATAGTTATTCAGTACCCAGCGTACTATTTAGGCAGGTAGACAGGCCCACCCCGCCGTTCGGGCCTGAGGCTCACAGGCCTGGCCCACCCACCCACGATTTCTTTGCGGTTCCAGACCCCATTGGCTCGGTCACCTCCTCCCCTCCCTCCGCTGGCACCGCCCGTCCGTTCCCTCTCCCTACCACCGCCGTCGCCTGGTGCTCCGCCGTGCCGGGTGCCGTCGGCGTGCCCCAGCATCCCGCCCCGCCGCGCTGCTGCCCAGCGATGTGTGCCATCATCCAGACCGCAGACACAGCGCGCCGCCCGTCCGCGCCCTCGCCGTAGCGCTGGTGCTGCTTCACCGTCTTGCGCCTGCCACTCCTAGGCGAGCGCACGGGTTCCGTGGTCTGTGGTCTACTGTTGGCCCTATCGGGGGCATCATGAGCAGGTGAGGGGGCAGCGCGAGAGAACGAGGCGGCCGACCCTATTAGGGGCGACGCGAGCAGGTGAGCCCTGGCCCTATCTCTCCCGCCCTAAACTCTCTCTCTCTCTCTCTCTATCTATCTATCTATCTATCTCACTCCTCGCAGATCCAAGGTGGAGGAGCCCTGATTCGCGTGTGCTCTTGTTTTGGCTTGAGGTCAGTGCGCCTGCTCGTGTACGTGGACGAGGATGCCAACTGCACCTTAGACGGCATGCCGAAGCTCCTCCCAGATCAGGACCCTGCCGAGATCCGCACCAGGTGAGCAAATCTCAACCGCTTTGTCCTTCCGTTGCTCATCCGTTCGTCAGATCTACTTTGTGTGCGTGCATGTGTTCGACTAAATTGCTCATCATATGCTCGATGGAAAGCACCAGAGACAATCTTGAGTGTCATGTCGTAGTTGTCTGCTTGTGCGCAATTGCACCATGAGAGTGACATAGCTGTTTGCATAATCACATGCACATGTATAAAGGATCAATGTTTTGCCATCTGCATCCATATGAATATGTTTGAAGTTCTCCTTTGGCTGCCAAAAACGATCTGGATATCGAACATTGATCTTTGCTCCCTCTGATTCCAAGAAGTTGTATGATCTCTGTTGTCAAATAGTCAATTTATTTAATCATCAATATGTCAACATTTGTGTAGATTGAGAACATAGAGTTAGTACTTCTGGATTCTTCATTGAAAACACATTTACATTGAGGGAGGATTTGATATTTATTATTGGAAAGCACATCATTTCTCTTCTACCTGTAACCTGCCTCCCTATACTAGTATTTCAGTTCATGCTAGCTTATAGAAATTGATACGTGGTTATATTCATGAATAATTGTGTGGAGTAGCTATTCTTATAGTGGCCATCTAGTGCAGCATTTCTAGTTGCCAAATATCTAACAATTTTACAAATATTATCTTGCCACCTTATTATATCCGTTCTTTTCTGCAAGAGAGCAGCAGCTCCATGTTGTTCAAATTCTAGCATGCACGTTATATAGAGTTTTTTTCATCACTTAGCCATGGCCAGCTGTTGCTCTTTCAGCTCTCTGTATGGTAGAATGCTTTTGTGCACTTGACAGATGTGTTGACTTATTATGTATTATTTATGCTTGTTGATAAATTTGTTCAGTCTATTGAAGTAAAAGATTTGATCTTGCAAATTTCATCTGGCTAATTATAATGTTTTTTTTTGCAACAAAAGATTCGTGGCTTGAAATGTGATTTATGGCTTGAATAGGTTTCTATACACGCAAGGTATCTTTGTTTCTTGGTTTCTAGTGCATGTTAATAGCATGCCCTTTAACTATGATATTTAATTTTTCTCCCGATATGATTTTTCTATATTAAGTTTCAGCTCCCTCTCCCGTCCACTTGGTCTCCTTCCCTCCCTCTGCCGGCACCGCCCGTCCCTCCCTCTCCGTACCACCGCTGCTGCGCCGCTGGCCATCTATCCGCCGTGCCTCCCGCCACGCCGCCCCACAGCGCTGTGCCGCCGAACACACACGTTGATTGCCGAGCTTGCATCATTTTGGATGGAGCCGCCCGGTCCCTCAGGTTTCCTTTACCCTCCTTATTCATGCATCTCGCTTTGATGCCCCATTAAGGTAGTGTCAAATTTGCTTGACTATTTAGATTCCCTGATATGGTTACTGTTTGTTAAAGAATGATTAATGTGTTTCCATTTCATTTTTTATTTTCCCTTTTATTTTAGTTTTGGTAAGCATTATGCATATATAATTCTTGAACATCCTGTTGAACTTCATTAATTCATTATGCGATGATCTAATTGGTTTCTTACAACCATACACATTGATTCAGATTTGCATTGTGTTTTTTTAGATCATACACGTATGTTTTTACTTATGGCGTGATTGTAGTTTCATAAATCAATTCTATTTATTCTGCATTTGCAGAGGATGCCCATGCCGGAAAAGGCCCTGGTTCGTCAACTAAAAGGTTCTTTTTTTCATTTCCCCATTATGTTTTACTTATCTTATTTTAGACATTCACATTGAGTCAGCACTTGCAACTACATTGTTATGTGGATTGAGTTTGTAATTTTAAGTTGTAGACTATACGAGTGCAGTATTCTAATTAGATTCTAACTCAGTGTCTTCAGATTCCGATTGGAGCTAGTTGATAAGATGCCTGACAACCCAAAAAGGCTTGTATTTGAGAGCACTCAACAACGATCAGTACATGCTTTTTTTTAGTGGCCTTTTTCATGTGTTGTACCTGCTTTTCTCTGTACGATGATGCTAATGTGATCATTGCCCATTTAGGTATGAGGTCCCTTTGCGACAAGACGAGAGGTTACCCTCTTCTCCTGGTACAACCTCTGCATCGGCTCCACCAAATAGAGGTGCAAAGGGGAATGGCTGTACTATAATTTTAATTTGTTGCAGTATGGAGTTAATATTTTACAAATGACTAGATAAAATTAGATATGTTCATTTACAGCTTATCTAATCTTGTTTATGAATTTTTTATTTATATTTATATGATCTGATGTATGTACACATAATTAGAGAATAATTTAATATTCATGGATTTTAAATTTTGCTATCTTAAATTTCCATTATTCTTTTCATTCCACTTCGGCTTGTCCTTTTGTTAATTAACACTTTTCATCTTGTTCTGAAAGCTCACAAGAATTTTCTGTTCTTTAAAATCATCTACTGTTTATTATTTTCCTTATCTGGTCCTTTTGGTATTCAGATGCAAGGCATTCCCCTTATAAGACCCCTGCGGTAGCACCTACTTCCCGTGACCACTCTCAGAGAAGGTATTGTTTTCTTACAATCTTGTGTACCAAATTTCCCACCAATCATAATCGTCTCAGGCATATCAGTGTACTCTTCCAATTTGTATATTCTGTACTAACATGCTACACAAAAATCTCCTTCTTCTATCTCCTATTTAACCATACCCTAGGTTTTATTTTTTTCCCAAAAGTTCATGGATCATTTTTTTCTATTTGTTTGTAGGACTCATGCTGCTCAGCGTACTGTGGATAGGGTCCCGTGTAACCTTAAGAGGGTGGTTTTTGAGAGCTCGCAGGAGAGGTTCATACGTGTTTCAATTTATTATAATTCTATTTATTTCCGAGAATCACTGATTAATGTTAATTCTTAGTCTGTTGTTAAAGTTTATCTGTTCGTGGCCTTTTTTTAGGTTTGAGCATCATATTCGACCAGAGCATGTGTTGCCTTCTGCAGCTGGTCACGACAGTGATGACGACGACTTCATGCCCATTCCCAACACCCGTTCATCCTCACACATCGACAAATCTAAGGATGTTGGTCCGAGGAAAACTAGGCAAACATGAGCAGGATTGTCGACCAGTGCATGTACAGAGGTGTATAGCATTTATTTACTTCTGCACTTTCTTTTCATAAGAGTTATCATTCTAAAGCTCCTCTTTGTATGTATCACTAGTTTGTTTTTTCCTTCAATATACCACAAATCTACTATCATGTCTTTGTTGCCAAATCTCTACTTTTCTATATCATTTGATTGTAAGTCATCAACATATTCTAGAAGCAAAGGATTCTTGTACTTGTGCGCCCTCATCTGTTTTGTTTCTGTAGGTTTTAGGAGCAACACGTGGTTATGGTTCAGTCTGACATCTGTAATCTCTGCAAATTCTTCACTATTTTCTTTGTCACATCTAAACTTTAGCTTGATGAATGCCAGGCATGATGTCTTCTTTGTTGTCTTGCCCCTGACGCGTTTTGCCTCGTTCCCCTTGTAGTATTTACCTATTCCATAATTATTGCACCTTAAGTACCTAGTATAATCTGTTTTGTTAGCCTTCTTTGGCTGGAAACCTGCCCTCTCAGCATATGTACAGTAGAATTTATGTGCTTCATCCTCTGTTTTGAAGCACATACCCACTCTAGGAATCAAAGCTTGGTCCAAATTTTCTTTCTGTTTAAAAAAATAATTCTCATAACCATTTCAGAATTATATGCTTACCATTTACAATACTGAAACAAATAGCCTGTTTTTAAGATCTACTCAACTCAAATTACCGGCAAGGCCAATATTACACTTACATGGCTGTATTTATGCTCTTCGTCTGGTGTCACAATCACTGATGGGTCAACAGTTGCAGATGGTGAGAACAAAGTTATGCTACGTCCTTCTTGACCTGAACGAGAATAAAGCTTAAAATGTATGAAGCTGTACAAACCTTGAAATGGAATAACCAAGCACTAACTGCATCTGTATCTGTCACCTCTAAAAAAAAGACTGCATATTATTATTGGGAGTGACTACCCATCACTCGGTTGATAGTTGATACAGTTATCATCCACTTTTTGAGCCAATCATAATTAAACACGTCATCGGTAGGATATATGTATATAAAACGACACAGAAACAATGATTGAAAAATATGATAAAATCAACCAGATTTTCTATGCAGAGCAATAAAAAACTGATTGACAAGTAACAAAATAATCAAACCAGATTCTCCCTCTCTGCCCAAACGCAACTACTCACAGGAAAAGTCACGTGCCCTCTGTACACATCCAACCACTCCGATTCCTTTTGGCAAGCTAACTGAAACTTATCAACTTGGAGGCCAAGAAAAAAAAAGAATAAAAGGAAGGAAGATAGAGCCAAAGATAAGAAAAGAAGTGCTATTTGCTGATCAGAAATGGACATTCTAAAAGCAATACTGTAAAGACAGATACTGCTGCTAAACACCAAAAGTTTAGAACCAGCACACACGTAGACCACTGACAAAAAATCATTGAACCGATTACTGAAAAAAATCATGCAAGCAATAAAATAAATATTGATAGAATTAAAAATTTTAATAATTTATGGCTATCGAGCACCAATTTCTGAACCAGAGAATTGCAGTGTAATTGAAAGCTTGGGTATATGCAGGCTACTGAATCTGAATAACTTTGCAGTCAGAGATGGTTCCTTTCTTTTTCAGTCAAAAGGCACCAGAAACATAGTAGCCAACAGATACAGTGCTGGAAAATGATTTTTGAAGTACAACTGAACTGTCTATATTGCTATTATGGATTCTTGTTCACTGACAGAAAAGGGAAGAGCGCTCTGGCTGCAAGAAGCCTAGAACAGAAACTTTTAGCATTACTCGCGGTACATATAACCTGAACTGAAGTTATCTGCTGAAGACAATGACGGAGCATAGTAACACATGGAAACACTTGAAGTGGGTCCCAGATTAGCCTACTTTGGCAAAAAATAAAAAAAAAGTGTAACATGGAAAGATGAACTCAATTTAATCAGAAAACACTATTAATGGTTCATGAGCACCAATTAAAATGATGGCGCCAATATATGAAATAAAGTGAACATTTAGTGTGAAATAAAGTGAACATTTAGTGTGATAATACATATACATAAACTGAGATTCCAAATTCAGAGAAGACAACAAACAATTAACAGGAATCAATAGAATAGCATACTGAAAACCATGGAAATAACAGGATACTCACAATACAAAAAAACTGAAACACACTAATATGAGGAACAAACTAAAAAAAGACATTTTAAATAACTGACAATCTCTAGATGACATTTTGAATAACTTTACTCTCTTTCAAAGGATGCAAAGTACTAGTTCGGTCTTGGTGTCTGCGGTTCACCAAGCCAGTGAAAATCCTAGAGACTGACAGCATCCATATATCCATGGCACCATATAATCAGCTTATTTACTTTGCAGTCTTTTACGGAACAAACAAGACCCTATCCAAGCAGGTCCTTCAAAAAAAATCAAATGGAGACAGAGGTGATGGCCTCTGCAGTATGCAATAAGCCTATTGTACGGAGACGCAATGTGCATGGGACACTTCATGGTTCTATTAACTGAACTGAGATTCAGCAAAAAAGAACTGAAATGGTTCACGCTTGTACAAACGAAAGCACAATCAACACACGCAGCAACGACAGAGGAGTTCGTGTGTGAAGAAATGGAGCATGTTTGAGTTCTGGGCAAGTCAGCATTGGCATTTCTTCAGACACGGTGCTAAACGAAAAAAAACACCCCAACTGAAAAGTGACTGAGCAGCAGCTATCTACAGTTCTGAAAAACCAAACAAGCTGCTGACGGATGGGTCACTGCTGAAAAACGGTTGTTCAGTCTCTCCTAGCAGCAAGCACAAGCAAAGATCAGAAAACAAAAAATAGCTTGATGAAGCTTTAAAAAAGAAACGAACGAGCGGGAGATTTCAAGTCAAATTTGCCAACTAGTTGCTGCAACTACTGGACGGTGACCTTTTCCATGTAAGAAAATTTAATCCCCAATTTCAATTGTGAAATGTTGCTGGTGTGTCACGGCCAGTGAAGCCTGCAACTTTCAACTGCGAAGAAGGATTGGACAGCAATGAAAATTACTGCAGACTGAAATACAGAGCAAAATAGTGGAGAGAAAAATTCAGAGGAAGCACAACTGAAGACTGAAAATATTCAGACTGAAAATTGAAACAATAAAATACTGAAATCTGAAACACTGAACCTTCCAAGTTCAAGATAAGACAACAAACAATTAACAAGAATAAATAGAATAGCATACTGAATAACTGAAATAATAGGATATTACTCACAACAAAATAAATATTCAAAACTGATCAGACTCTGAAACTTGAAACAATAATTCACATGTAATGGTACTGAAAACATATTATCTAGCCAAAAAAATCTTGCAAACAATAAATTAAATATCCATCTAACATGGGTAAAAACTAAATACTAGTGAACAAACTCAAACGATTTGGACATTGGAAAATCTTAATACATATGTTCAATATCAGTGATAACATACCTTCCACTTACAAAAGTCAATAAACTTTTCCAACATTTCTAAATGAGTGGCAAACAGAGTAGCCTAAAAAGAAAACTCAAAACTAACAAGAATGTAAAAACTAATATAAAAATAGGCTTTCAAGAAATGATATGCTTACATTATCATTATTCTATAGATCTTCAAAATTAAAAAAGTTGTGGTGCTAGCCTCGTCTTAGAGAAAAGGAATATAACAGATAAGATAGCTGACTCACAAGTTGGACACTAAAAGTATGTGCACCCTGAGTGGTTATAGTTGTATCAGCAACAGTTAAGCGATCTATTAGAGCATTATCATAAAAGGTGAGGCGTGGAGTCGAAGTCCGGTCCACCAATGAGACAGGGTGGTCAATGTTGTCGAGATAGTATAACTGAACAGATCTTATAACGATCGACCTAAAGAACAATAGTTTCAGCAGTGGAATAACCAAGCACTAACCCTCGGTTTGGCAGCATGCTTGCGGTGTGCGGTTTCCTTCGGTGCTTCTTTCATTTGAACCATTCCCCTGGATTCCTTGATTTTCACCAACCAGTAAACTATCGACAAAGTTGCAGCATGGAGTGTCAACCTGTTGCATCCCTATATTGCATCTTGTCACCTCTTCAACAGCGACACCCTCTTCGTTCATCTCTGCAACACATCTATTCTTTCCTACTTCATCAAATTGCAGCCTTCTCGTTGCCATCCTTATTCACAGATCAACAAATGTTTAGGGCCCTTCAAGACAATTCTACAAATTAATCATCATTACTCAATGTCAAACATTTTGGAAACAAAAACTCTCGAAGCCTACACCTCTCCTTTCCTTGTCTCAATCTCTTATATTTTTCTTTCCTTATGCAATTCATTATTTTTTTGCCTATTGATGCATGCAGATTCATAAATTTCTTTCATAATAATCGGATTGTTTCTCTAAATCTAATTTTCCATCTCTCTTTCCTATGTTGCTTTCTTCGCTCCTACCTCCAGCTTCAATTGGGTTGATTGGGATAAGTTGTCGCGAACGGCGAGGGCGGCCGTGACCGCACGGCGAGCGCACGGCGAGGGCTGCCGCGAGCGGACGGGGGTCCGGCGGAGGTGGGTTGAGGAGGAGCGCCGGTGGGGGTTGGTCCGGAGCAGGCGAGCGGAGAGGGGGCGGACGGGCGGTGTCGGCGTAGGAAAGGAAGAGACCGAGCGGATGGGGGCGAGGAAATTGAAACCGCATCTGGGATGGACCGAATCCAATTTTTTTTCGGAAGAAGGTGCGCACGGTCGACGGTCGTGTTTTCGTTCAGATGTGTTCCTCGGACCTTGGTTTCTAGTCCCGGGCTGGGTTGCAGCGGCCCAGGTGCATGGGCACGCTCGGTCCCGACGTAGGATGCGCGTGCGCGCCTATAGGACGCTGGGTACCAAATAACTCAGTAGTATCCGTGTACTAAATAGGGTTGGGCTATATATATATATATATATATATATTTCCAGTGATATACTTCTTATCTGTTTTGGTGAGAGATTGAAACGATTTTTAGCGGGCATCTCTTGGAAAAACTTTCGAGTTCAAAACTTTTTAATTTTTTCTGAAACAAGATATGCAACTATTTTAAGAGGAAGGAGATATGTCTTAAGGTTTGGTTGTCACCAAGCCTGCCTAGTAGTTTGTAACTTTGCTTGGGCGCAAACAGTTTACTTCCTCTCGGTTGAATCATGCGATTCCTATGAAGTGGATGAGAATTTATAAAAAATCTAAAACACGCGATGCCTAGATTTAGCAATGTCTAAAATTGCAAGCATGGCAAAATGAGGCAATAGCTTGTTTGTCCATTTTCCATGCACGTAACATATTATTGTCACATGATAACTTTTTTCCAGAGACAATAATGATAATAGAGTGCCATACTCTTATTTAATTTTTATATATAGACTAGCAAAAGTGCCCGTGCATTTTAATGGGAGGAAAGGTATAGCGTCATCTGAAGTTTTGATATCTATGTGTTGTTTTGTCTCAAAAATTATGGCAGAAATTTTGTCTCTTTATTATTAGGTATAGGTATAGAAGACATGTCCGATCAATTTACTCGTTGATGCAACAAATGTTGTCATAAGGAAACTTACAATAAGAAACATTTATGCCCCATGTATGGCAATATGGCATACATTCTAAACTCACATTTGTATCGAGGCAATCATAGGGTGAGCATTAATGGTTTCTTATCGTCAAAAGGTAGGCCGTCTTCACGTTTTGAGTTTACCATGCATCGCCTGTGTTGACGATAAGAGTAAAACTACAAAGTCACACTTGGAATAATAGCCCGCACGTTCGCCGCCGTGGCAGATAGATGTGCCTGCTTCTTCTGTCTGTGGAACCAGCCACGTTGCACCGGAACCACCACAAAAAGGCCACGCAACCGGCGTCTGCCACCTCGCGGTCGCAGCCTGTAAACAAACCAGCCAAGCTGTGCAGTACGACGCCAGGCCGCCTGCCCGTGCCCTTCCCCGGCCGAGAAAAAGAGCCTTTTTCACTTTCACGCCGGCGGCTGGCCAGCCAGCCCAAAGCAGCAACAAACAATGTACGGTGGGTGCAGATACGTACTCTATATTCTGAGCGCTCCTCCAGTCCTGAGTCCTGACGCGCGCACACAACTATAGAAGAAGAAACTGCACACTTTTGCACGTAGTACTACCTATCAGCCATCGGATAGCCGATAGGACCACCGGCCCGATATAGCTCCTCGACGGCCGATAGGTACTACAACCTATCGGTCAGCGGGTAGCCGATATACCTATCGACCCGATATAGCCCAACGCAGCCCACTGCAGAGACTTGTCGGCTCCTGGACTGCCGATAGGTACTACAACCTATCGGTCAGCGGATGTCCGACATCCCTATCGGCCCGATATAGCCCAACGTAGGCTCCTGGACTGCCGATAGGTACTACAACCTATCGGTCAGCGGATGTCCGACATCCCTATCGGCCCGATATAGCCCAACGTAGCTCGCTCGAGAGACTTATCGGCTCATGGAATGGCGATAGGGGTATGTTGGCACTCCACAACCAGCTCCGGAGCCTTGTCGCCTCCTGGACTGCCGCTAGGGGTATGTCGGCACTCCATAAGCCGATAGGACTTGTAATTCTTTCTCGCTCGCTCCACTTGACTCGTCGCAAGCACCAACGCGTCCAAATAACGTGTACAAAATTCTTTTCAAATTGCAAACATCAGTGGTACCTTCTAAGGATGAAAATGGAATACAAATCGAAATCGCCTGCGCGCACATTATCATCTACTCGAGCAAAAGATGACACCCAAGAGAGAGAGTTATCCCATTAGATCATAAGTTCATAACTGGATTGTTATAATCTGGATTATCCATAGGATTATTGTAATCAAGATTATAATTATTAGAATTAGAGTCTTCCCTAGATTATGATTCTTCATTATAGTTGGTTAAAGTGAGAAATTTCTATCTTATCATTTAATATATGTATGTATGTATATATATATAAGCCTTTAAGTCCCAAATAAATTGGGGTAGGCTAGAGTTGAAACCCAGCAGAAGCAATCAAGGTTCAGGCACGTTAATAGCTGTTTTTCAAGCACTCCTATCTAAGGCTAAGTCTCTGGATATATTCCATCTTTTCAAATCTCCTTTTATTGCCTCTACCCAAGTCAACTTCGGTCTTCCTCTGTCTCTCTTCACGTTAGTATCCTGGCTTAGGATTCCACTACGCGCCGGTGTCTCTGGAGGTCTCCGTTGAACATGTCCAAACCATCTCAACCGGTGTTGGACAAGTTTTTCTTCAATTGGCGCTACCCCTAATCTATCACGTATATCATCGTTCCAAACTCGATCCCTTCTTGTATGACTGCAAATCCAACACAACATACGTATTTCCGCGACAGTTATCTGTTGAACATGTCGTCTTTTCGTAGGCCAACATTCTGCACCATACAACATAGCAGGTCTAATCGTCATCCTATAAAACTTGTATTTTAGCTTATGTGGTACCCTTTTGTCATATAGGACACCAGATGCGTAGCGCCACTTCATCCACCCGCTTTGATTCTATGGCTAACATCTTCATCAATATTCCCGTCTCTCTGTAGCATTGGTCATAAATATCGAAAGGTATCCTTCCTAAGCATTACTTGACCTTCCAAACTAATATCTTCCTCCGCCCGAGCAGTAGTGTCGAAGTCACATCTCATATACTCAGTTTTAGTTCAACTGAGTCTAAAACCTTTGGACTTCAAAGTCTCCCGCCATAACTCTAGTTTCTAATTCACTCATGTCCGGCTTTCATCAACTAGTACTACATCATCCGCGAAAAACATACACCAAGGGATGTCCCATTATGTCCCTTGTGACCTCATCCATCACTAAGAGAAACAGATAAGGGCTTAAAACTGACCCTTGATGTAGTCCTATCCTAATCGGAAAGTCATCCGTGTCTCCATCACTTGTTCGAACACTAGTCACAATATTGTTGTACATGTCCTTAATGAGCCCGACGTACTTCGTTGGGACTTTATGTTTGTCCAAAGCCCACCACATAACATTCCTTGGAATTTTATCATAAGCCTTCTCCAAGTCAATAAAAACCATGTGTAGGTTCTTCTTCTCCCTATATCGCTCCATAACTTATCTTATTAAGAAAATGGCTTTCATGGTTGACCTTTCGGGCATGAAACTAAATTGGTTCATAGAGACCAGCATTATTGGTCTCAAGCGATGCTCGATAACTCTCTCACATAGCTTCATATTATGGCTCATCAACTTAATTCCCCAGTAATTAGTATAACTTTGAATATCTCCTTTATTCTTATAGATTGGTACCAATATACTTCTCCTCCACTCGTCAGGCATCTTGTTCGATCTAAAAAATGTTTGAACAGCTTGGTTAGCCATACTATAGCTATGTCCTCGAGGCATCTCCACACCTCGATTGGGATACCATCCGGTCCCATCGTCTTACCTCCTTTCATCCTTTTCAACGCCTCTCTGACCTCAGATTCTTGGATTCTCCGCACAAAGCGCCTATTGGTGTCATCAAAAGAGTCATCCAACTTAAAGGTTGTGTCTGTATTCTCACCATTGAATAATTTGTCAAAATACTCTTGCCATCGATGTCGGATCTCATCCTCCTTCACCAAGAGATGCTCCCTTTCATCCTTAATGCACTTAACTTGGTTGAAGTCCCTTGTCTTTCTCTCATGAACCTTAGCCATCCTATAAATGTCCTTCTCTCATTCCTTCATACTCAAATGTTGGTAAAGATCCCAGTACGCTCTACCCTTTGCCATACTTACAGCTCGCTTTGCAATCTTCTTTGCCACCTTGTACTTCACTATATTGTTCACACTCCTGTCATGGTACAAGCGTATATAGCATTCTTTCTTCTCCTTAATAGCTCTTTGGACTTTCTTGTTCCACCACCAAGTATCTTTAGCCTCTCCTCCACTTCCTTTGGTTACTCCACACACCTCTGAGGCCACCTTCCGAATGTTGGTTGCCATCTTCTCCCACATGTTGTTTATGTCCTCTTCTTCCTTCCAAGAGCTCTCTTTGATAACCCATTCCCTTAATACCTCTGACGTCTCCCTTTTTAATTTCCACCACTTTGTTATTTCAATCTTAGCTTGTTTATCCCTACGGACACGCACCTGAAAACGATCTGCCACCAAAAGCTTATGTTGAGAAACAACACA